ACTTGATGTAAGGGATGCTACATCTTCTTCAGTGTGTAGTGAATAAGTGGCACATTCTGAATGCTTTATGCTCTGATCTAAATGATGCTTTTTTGATGGTGTGGACTGAAAGTCATCATCACTGTCATCCATGTGTGATGTGTCAGCTGGTTGATTCTCTGTTGTAGGAGTAGCTGTTTGCTCTGGTGATGGTTTTAAAGATGACCTGAAACAATTTAATGTTACAGTGGGGTCTAAACTATTGGCATGAAAATGGTACAAAATTAATAGAATTCTATAACAGAGATTCTTAGAAATTTATCTCCAGTTGCAATGGTTGTAAAGAAATATTTAAAAAAAATTATGGTTGTGCTGAAATTGATACCATAATTTCATAAATAGAATAAATATTTATTACAGATGAATTTGTGATTATAAATAAATTACCTGCAATTAGCAAATTTCTTTACTTAATTTAAAAATTCAAGACATAACAGAACTGACTTCTTCTAATAATTATTATTTTGTCGATATTAGAATATGATGCATAGTAACAATACATTCAAAATATAATTGGTACGGTAGTATTCGAAAAATAAAAAAAATGTCTATACAATTCATAAAATGATATCAAAATAATGGTATTGATCATGTTTGAAAAGGAAAATATACTCCTTACAATAAGTAAAATGATTGATGTGGTCATGTAATCATGTTAGGTTGGAGTGAATAGTAATTATCTTTACCTTTATAAAATTTTAATAATAAAAAAAAATAGTAAAGGCTTAAGAAAAGAAAGCCAGTGTGTTCAAAAAATGATTTCCGGGTTTAACTGTATGTTTTATGCCTTCAAATATTTTGGTTTCTTAATACAAAACATCTGAATATGTACTTTTCCCTGAATGAACGCTTGAAATAAAATTTGCTAAATCAAAACTAAGTATAAAAAAACAAGAAATCCCAAATAATTCCACTAAGGAGAAGGCGATGTGCCCTGTCTTTTATTATAATTAATGTTTCAGATATTAGAAATATGTAGGCATTTTTAAAAAATTTATCTAACCTTTGGAGTTTCAAAGAATTGGCTTTACTGTTTTGAACTCCTGACTGAGCAACTTGCCGCTGTACTATATCCTTGTAAAGTAAAATAAATCATTTGTAAGAGTGTAAAAATGTTACGATTATCTTTCATATCATTGCAACAGTTTTATAGCTTCACTACCACACAGCAACCCTAGGTCCACACTTAAGAGCAACAACAATGTTCAATGAATGTAGCTATAACAACTCTTTATTTACATGATCCTATCACAGTAGCAGGCAGTTCACAAATGTCCTCTATAAAATAAAATCATCACTACATTGATACTTATACCAAAACGGCTCTTGTCTCCATAACTATCGATGACTTACACCTTTTCTCACAGCAATGATAACTCAACATACTGACATTCACTACTAGCTCCACAAACTCAACCCCACGAACTGACCCAACAATCACAAACTGACCTTGCTTAACCCAATCAATCACAAAATGATCTTGCATCACATTTGCAATATGCTATTTATTTCTCTTGTACAAGAAATAAAACCTACATGATTTATCTTTATATTGACAACAACAGAAGTCATCAAATGTCAATGTGATTCACACAGAATCTATTAAATGTTAGTTTTCTACAATAATTCATACTCATAAATAGACAACATATTCTGGAGTCCTATAAATTTAAAAAAAGATACAGGCCTAATGATAAAACATGATTCTAATTAAGTAGCCCTATTTAAAATGGTGATATTTATTAATGGGAGGGTCTGCTTTCTAATTATTTTCAGTTTCAGTGCTAATTCAGACATTCAACTTCAAACTATTATAAAATTTAACATAGACCTTAACTAAAAGTCACTTAAATTGCCCTCAACAATATTTAGTAGCATTTCAATCTCACCTGACAGATTTTCTTCTCCTTTTGTCTCTCTTCCTTCCTGAATTTAGCATGGAAAGAAAACACTTATGAATGATGCATAAAATGGGCATTGCTTTAGATTTTTGTGTACAATACCCTAGTAGTAATGGCCATTTAGCATTATTTAATAAATCGTGTTTTTAGAATATGAAAGAATTTTCAGACTGTGTTGTCTTGTTATTTACAATTTATTAACATCAATGCTTTTATTATATTATCAGATGTTTCTGTGCCCCCAAACAATGGAGTTCTCTCCCATTAGACATCCGCAATATACTGACTATCCCAGCCTTCAAAACTGCCCTCAAGTCCCATCTCTTCAAACTCGAAGATATACCAACTCATTTTCAACCCCCACATCCCCTAAACTGATAAACAACGCTTGATGCTGCTGTCCATGGCTAGACAGGGGTAGATAGTACTTGGGTGGGTGAGGTCAAGCTTGTTGCAAATTTTTGTTTTTAAATGTATAATTTTCTGTAATTGTTAATTTTTAGGTGAAGCGCAGTGAGCCTAGCCCTAGGCTTGGGTACTGCGCTATATAAAATCATCTTAATTAAAATAATAATAAGTCATTACTCATCTTAAAAATCAAGATAAATTAAACAAAGCCCAAAATTAATGTTATCACCACACCCCTATTGTTTTAGTGAAAATAGTCACCTCGTCTCCTCCTATTATAACAAAAACAGGTAATAACAGTAGTTCTCTACACCTATTAATAGAAGATTGATCTCATTGTTGGCATAGAGAATACTTAAAATTTATACTGTTATATTATATATGGTGTCTCAGTAAAAATACAACAAGCCTTGATGGGCCTGTTTGATGCAGAAATGTTAACAATATTCATTTCAACTTGATGTATCACTGATTTTCTCGTGTGGAGATACTGATCTTCCATCAAACACCTCCCCATGTGACGGATAAGGGAAAGTCCAGAGAAATAAAATACCTGGGGTGGACCAAAATCAGAACCTACTGCCTTGTAGGAAGTGGAGGGATCCACAAAGGTTAGGGAACATTACCCAAAAAACTAAGGCAGCTAGCTGGTGTAAGGGGCAGCACCCAAGATGGTTGTGCTCAGGTCTAACAACCCAGGCATGCAAAAAATTAATGTTACGAAAGCCAATCATCAGAATAAAACCCGGACTGATACCAATGGAAATCGACATATGCCTGGATATGGACATGTTTTTTTATTGCAACTTGGAATGTGCTAAGCTTGTTTAGAGCAGGAGCCTTAGCCAACCTTGTAAATTAACCGGTTAAATATAAAATATCTATTGCTGCATTGCAAGAAATTCGATGGAAAATTTTAGACATCCTTAAAACAAAGAAGAAACCATATTTTATAGTGGTAACAACACCAACACTCGAGGAACAGGATTTGCAGTAAAAAAAGAAGCAATCAGTGCAGTCATAGGCTTTAAACCAGAAAATGAAAGATTGTGTTCTTTGCATGTGCGAGGAAAATGTTCAATATAACATTCATAAATATACATGCTCCCACGGAAGATACGGAAGATCAGGATAAAGAATCCTTTTTATGAGACACTGGAAAAGATCTATGAAGAAGCACAACAACATGATAATAACATAGTGATTGGAGACTTCAATGCCAAAATAGAAAAAGAAAAGGTGTTAATGCCAACTATTGGCAAGGAGAGTCTGCATGAATAATCCAATGACAATGGGATCCAACTCATAGCCTTTGCTTTAGGAAAAGGGATGTCAGTTAGCAGCACCAATTTTCCATACACAAATAAACATAAAAGTTATTTGGAACTCACCAGATGGAATCACCAACAACCAAATTGACCATGTTCTAATCAATCCAAGGCATGGATCAGATATACTGGATGTAAGAAGCTATCGAGGAGCAGATGCAGACTCTGACATCTACTTGTAAGGGTTAAATATAAGCAGAGAATAAGCATAACTCACAATGGCCCTAATAAAAGAAAGAAACAATATGATTGCCAAATGTTTACCAAAGATCCACTAACTGTAACAGCAGGACATGTGGAAGGAAGTAGTGAGGCAGGACAAAGCCCTAAATGAGCTGTAGTGCCACAGGGATGGATGGCTGGATCACTGATTTTAGGCAAGCTGGACAATACCATTAAGCATAACAAATTTTATCTTCCTTCACCATCTTTTACAACTCTACAATATTAAATATTGTTCTGCAATAGATGATTAAAAACAAGACATAGCAATACATGATTAAAATTTCAAAATTTATATTAAAAATGTATTTCATATTTTGTTAACAGAATAACTCACTGTTTTCGCTTGAAGGTTTTTTTATAACTTGGTTTTAAAACTTCTTCATCCTCTCCTTCTTTCTCTTCAGGTGTGTCACAGCGGCTACAAACAGAATATTTTTAGAATTACAAAAATAATTATTCCACTCTATAATACCATGTGATAACTTGTAAAGAACATTTCCTGAATAAAAAAATGTTGTATGAACAAATCAATTTTAAGGCTTTGTCAATTTAAATTATACATTTTCTCCAATGATAGGCAGAGGTTGGATGGATGAAAAAGGGGCAGGTGTAACAGGTAAGGTTGCCACATAGTGTAATTTGGTTCCGGTGTCTATTAGACTGTTCTTTCTTAGAACTTTCTATAAGAAATTTTAGTGATTGCCTAGACTGATAAAAGACAACTATTCATAAAATAATGATTCAAAAACAAGGAATTAGAACAGAAAAAAAAACATATTCTTTGAAAAATGTCCAATAAAGTAATAAACTTACTTATGTGTGGCATCACGATTTAGGAAACAAAACCACTTGTCAGGAAGAGACTTTTTAGTACTTTCACCTGGTAAGCGTCGCCACTTAAGACAGGTATCACATTGTGCCCAAAGATCAGGGACTTCCCTAAATCATTTCAGATAACAATATTTTCCACTTACAAAAAACAAAAGATATCAATTAAAGGACACACATAGTTTTACAAATGCAGAATACATAAAGGCTGAAGAAATATCAAGTGGGCAAAACTTATTTTAAAATTAGGGAGAAATAAAAAGTGTATAACCTACCTTCTTGCATGAGGTGTTTGTGATGTTTGACCTTGAATCTTTTCATTCCAGTAATCATTGAGTTTTTCTCCAAATGCTTTCATTAAAGAACTGTATTTGTAATCCGTAAAATAAAAAAATAATAGACCCTTACATTTGAAAGATGAAATCATTGTAGCTTACATAAACATTATGTAAAGTTAACAAATTATGTAAAAATGCATGAACCAAAAATAGGAATGGAAAATTATGTCTCTCTCCATTCAGAATGCTTAAAAAATGTAATGGGTTCCAGGATGACATAATAATGTTCCCAAAATTTTACTAAGACAAATTATTGCTTAATAATTTTTAAAAATCCAAACTAGCATTGACTAAGATAAATAATTAGTTCAGATTTGCTATTTTTTACTTGAATTAAAGAAAAATGTATTTGTTGTTTTAGTTAAGTTACTGTATTTAAAAGCCTTTGATTAGTTATACAGGACCTTTAAATTGGAAAGACATCTTTTTTTGTACTAGTAATACATTTTTTTTATAACATGGAAAAGGCTCAAATATATTGATATGATCTTTCATAAGCATAAAAAAAAAAATTCAGTTAATTTTTTGAAGTGAATATGAATGAGTTAAATTGTGGTGAAGCTTAAGCTTAAAAGACTCACAAAAAATTGTATGAGTTGTAGAGTTAAACTTTATTTATGGCATGAAATATTTTGCCAACTTTTTTGGAGGACAAAATTTGCCTTATATGTGAGCATACATTAAAATTTTAACTTAACATCAATATTATTGTAAATAATAATGTTCAACGAGTAGTAATACTATGACCTGGCCCTACCAAAGATAAAAATGTTAGAAGAGACTTAAATTAAGCTTCACCCTGCTTGTTCTGCATGAACAAAATTTTTATTCTTTTAATTTTATCGTAGTTTATTCCATGGATTTTATCTCAGGATGTTCACAAACAGTCTGATAATGATAAAGATAGATGTTACTCACATGTATTTTTCATCTGTTTTGAAGTCCTGCTTATTGTGAATTGGTTCAAGAAAATCTACCTCAGCCACACCTACTACTCCAACACCCAATTCATTTTCCTGTCAGAAAAAAGGTAGTTCTAATTTTAAACACGTATTAAAAATTTCATTAATACCTTGTGGCATTTATTATCAATATATATCTACCATTCATCCATAAAAAAAAATAATGAAAAAAAAAACCAAAGATCATTTTAAATTATATAAAAGTATGTATGCATAATAGTGTTATGTACCATTATGGTTTTAAAGATTTAATCTGTGTTACTTGTTGGCTCATGCAAGTAACAATACATAACAAAAGACTGGTCTTAACAGTATGCAAAAAAAAATAAAAAATGATAATTTAATAATATAAATACATTTTTATCCAAAAAGTAATTTGAGTACAGAAGCAAAACACCTGTATCAACTTACTGCAAGTGAAAAAAAAGATGCAATCCGCAAAAACAAATATTAATTTACATATACAACATTATAACATTTTGTATTTTTATCTAAGTCTCGCTATGTCTTTCTGGTAAGAAACCTGGCGGGCTTTATATAGAAATTAAATATGAAAATTCTATTAAAGAAAATCTAGAAATTGCATCACCTAATAACATTCTTGAGAACAAATGGGACACATTTGAATGCAAACAATCTTTTACCCAGCCAAGAAAAGGAAGGAGTGACACAAAACAGTTACACAGTGCATCAATATCAAGATAATGCTAGCAGACAAGTTGTGGTGGCTAAAAATAGCTCTATGTTGTAGTTTAAATAAAAGCCAAGCCCTACGTTATACTAGGCTATTTATAAGAAATGGGATAAGTTTGCATACATCACATAGACATTTGTTTTACCGATTAATGTAAAAAGATGTAGTTACTAGTTATCCATAAACAAAAACACTGTAAATCAAAGACAGAAAAGATGGTGCAGGACTGAGAAAAGTAAGCATAATTTGATATTTTTATTAATATTAACTTAGACATAAACTTCTTTGTCTGAGATTTCACTACATTACCCACCTGTTTCTGATAACCAACTTTTTCATAGGCTTTGATGAGTCTGTTATTGTGATATAACATCATTCCATAGTCATTCAACATATCACAGTTGAAACCAAAAATTATTTTTATGGGCATCATCTGAGATAGACAATTTAGTGTGTGAAAATTGTTACCTTTTAATTTAGTTTTATTTATTTATTTAGGCATTTTTGTATAGTGTTTATCTTACAGCTCCAAGCGCTTTACAATTATTAAAAATATGTAAACTATTTAAACTGCTAAAGTAAAATACAAATGAAAAATCAGAGACACTAGAATAGTAACTACAATGTGAAAAATGACTATAGAAACAGTAGCTTAAACATTAAAATGGCTATAAAAACGAGTACACTTGGCACGTTTTGGCCTATACTACAGGATCAACCCGAGACAGAAAATGAGGCAGGGCAAGGAGGGTGCATCACAGGTCATAGGCGGACCTAAACAGATGGGTTTTAAGGGACTTTTTGAAAGTGGACGAGGTTTCACAATGACGGATGTGGAAGGGGAGCTGGTTCCAGAACGTGTGCACATAGAAGTAGAAGGAGCGTTCACCGATGGTCTTAGTTTTAAAGGAATATGAAATGTAACCCATTTGTAATGGCACATCAGTTCAAATTTGAATATAAAAAAATGAAAAATCTACATTAAAATTCCTATTTGTGTCTCAACCCCCACTAAATTCAGTTTAATAATAATGTGTTATTCACATAGCAAACTAATAGCTAGGTAGGTATTTAAACTTATTCAATTGTATTTTCACAATTTATCTGCATTTATATAAATAATTACCAGCCATGTTGGCCTGTATGTATCTCTTTCTGTTTTTGACAGTGACCTAGAAACCAGTTTAGACCTGACTGGCTTTCCCCTAAGTATTAGTTTCATCCTTGGAATTAGATACAAAATACTTGTGTACACCTGATAGCAAAAAGATCACATTATAAAACATCAAATTTTTCAAAACATTGAATAATATCTAATTCGGGATGCATAGTCAGGCACTGAAACTGACATATTTACTGCATACATAAGCTTAAAAACATTAGAGCAATTTAAACTGTTCAATAAGAACATTTTTTTTCTAAATAAATGATAACACTAACTCTTAAAGATCTCCTGTAGTCTGAAGGTTTCTGTACTACAGGTCGTGCAGTCATGGCCATGTCATAGGTCACAGTCTCTGGACATCGAATATCAGTTGGGTCACTGACAAGGTCCAGCTCTAACATACCATCCTGTGACCTTTGAGGTTAGTAAATAGTGTACATTAAAAAGATAAAACATGCATGTGACCACAAAAATTTTTGGAGATTTTCTATCAATTATTGAGAATAAATTTATTTCAGAATATAAATAGATATTAAGACGAACAATTTAATTTTGTGCAATGGAACCATCAGAAGAAACTCTTTTTGTTTATATTAATTTTGTATGAATCAACAGAAACACATTTGAATTTGAAAATTTAAGTTGCCCAAATGTATGTGTACTTGAATAACCCAATTCAGGCAAGCTTTCAAGTATGTAATATTTTTATCCCCTCTTTTACTTCCCCTCAACCTGAAGTATCAATATGAAGTTTTTCCAATGATAAATTTTCTTTGATACGGTACTTTAAAAAAAGAATAATAAAGGTTATACATATACTAAAAGGCTTTATACAATTAACTAAATTAAAGTGCTTTGCTCTCTTATTGAGATGGTTTGATGATTCGGGTAAGTAAAAAATTAGAGATTGATTATGACCTTCCCTATAGAAACTTTCAAAACTTTTTGGGGGGGAAATAAACTGGACGATCTTGAAAATTCCTTAATAAATTTTTACACAAAAAAATAGTACTGAATTTAAACTCATATCTTTTTTAATAATATAACATAGATAAATTTTTTTGTAGTTCACTTGCATACAAATACAGTAAAGTTAATGATATCTTACGTGTTTAGGTTAAAAATGAATATTTGTGTCCCAGTCACAGAAGACTCTAGAGTTTTAAGCTGATCCTTGAGTTCTTTTTCAGTATGAAATACAGAATATTTCAGAACAGCTTCCAGACAGTTTTGTGCTTCTATGTCATCTTTACATCTTAGTAGCTAGGGTTAAAGTTCACAATTTCAAAAAGGAAATAAAGGTATAGGCATAAAAAGGTTGATTTTAATCTATTCATATTTAGCCTGCCTAGAGAGATTCATTTATTGTTACTGAATTCTTAACTCAGGATACACAATTTCATTTCATAGATTTAGCATTCACTTTTCCCTTTTCAATTTCTGTTTTCAGTATTTGAAATGAGGATCTAAGATTTGCTTCCAACTCACATTCAGCTAGAAATGCTTCAAAAATTATGTAACATATTATTTTAATATAAATAAAAATTATGCAAATCTATATGAATATGACATTACAGTTATTTTTAATAAAAACAAATAATAATGAACTTGAAAAAAATACTTAAAATATCTAATTTTTATACTACTTAAATCTTTGATAAATAGCAAATGCAATAAAAGGATATTATAGTTAGTTTTGTTGTACTCGAGAATGGGAACAAGTATAGTGTCAGCCTCTATGGCCTGCAGATAGGTCTGCGAGAGGAAGCCAACACTTGTACTGTTTTTGCACCTTGTGAAAACTAAAGCATTTTTGCCCAAACGCATTGACCCAGATTTGAATCCATTACCATAGTGACCAATAGGTGCATAAGAGTCTGTAATGGCATCTTTGTCACAAAATCCAAAGCTGAAAGTTAACAAATTTCAAGTGAACACTTTGCATTTTAAAGTTTAAAAAATTTTATGCAAACTTAAAAAGTCTGGGATTAATAAATACATCTGGAAAAAGGTAATACAATTACATTTTCTTCTTTCTCATATATTTGAAAGCTGACTGACATTGTTTTTTTGAAAATTTGGGACATCCAGAGGTACTTCACACTCTGGAAAAGGAGTTGAGGGGGGGGGGGGGGGGTGTCGAAAANGGGGGGGGGGGGGGGGGGGGGGGGTCGTCAATAAAAGAGTGACATGTTGTGAATTTAATAGTTTAATTATTAATAATTGAAGTGTATTTAAGATTAAATTTAATTAGTTTTTAATTTGTTAACAATTTTTTTATTTTGAAGATTAAAAAAAATTCAATTCAAGTAAGAATAGTATTCAGTTCTAATTTAGGGAAGTTTTATTTAGAGCACCAGTTGTTACACAATGTTACAATTAAAGCCATAAATAGGCCCTACATAAACAGAGAGATTTATTATTTGTGATAGATTGTTATAACAACAATAACTTATATAAAAGTGTAATAGTAATAAATTATAAATTACTTGCCTTGCACAGATGAAATAAACCAATTTACAAAAAAATATTATTCTTTGATTTTTAAAGATAAAAGTTTACTTACGTAAGACTTAAAACCAAATAAAAATAATATTTCATTAATTTGGAAAAGATTATAAATTTTCAAATTATTTTTCATACTAATTTTATTTGACTAATAATTAACTAATCACCGTTACTGTTGCCAGTAGCAATGCACGCAGTGGAATTATTTTCAAATTTGGAGTTGACAGCCTTTTAAAATAACATTGACATTAATAATAAACAGAAACAGACATAATTACCTAAGCATTTTAAAAAGATTTGCAGTTTCAATACCAGCCCCATTGTCTTGAATTATCAAACACTGTTCATCATTTATTATCCTTGTATCAATATCGACATGTGTGGCCTTAACATCTGGATCATATGCGTTATCTGAGTTAAATAATAATAATATTAAAATCTATACTATGTCAAATATGAAGAATGTAGTATATGACCTGGTGTTACTGTTGTTACGAACCCGATCTTACCAGGTTCAATAGCCTCGTTGTCTATGGATTACAATTACTAAACAAACCATAAGAACGTAGATCTATCTTTATTAACTGTACAACTCTATAACTAAATTACATTGTCAACATCATTCCTGATACTGACACTACTGACTACTGCCATTACTCCAAAACACACTACACAATAATATGGCATTTCCCCTCACCCAAAATACGTCACAAAATACCAAGCATTTAATTTTTAAATAGTAACACTAACATCTACCCTAATACTCTCCAACAAACACACCATCACATAATACATACAAATACAAGTCCGTAACAACTATTACCAAGATAATAATGGAGGGCATATTGTGCTACTTCGTACCTTTTCTTGCAAAGTTGCAAAGTCTTGAAAATTTTTACAGTTTTGATGTAGCGCCCTTGTATTGTATATTAAGGAAATAAGTACTTAGACAATAGTTTTTTGGTTTTTTTTAATCTACGGATTCTACATATAGACGTCTATATCATATTTACTTTGCTCACATCATTGGGTTGTGAGAGTATTTTCTTCTAAGTCTAAATAATATAAGGCAAGGACAATCCAACCACTTTCAAGGCCTCTACAAATTACAAATTTAAAAAAAAACAAACAAAAAAACATGTCTTTAACTTTTTATTTTTTAAAATAATTTTATCATTTTAAATATCGGTGGCATTAACTTTAACGGATTTTGATATATTGGTATCGTCATTAAAAATCAAATTTGCGTAAACTCTGATTCGCTTCTGAACTCTTATCGGAAAATCTTTAAAACAGCATTTTTATAGATCAAGACGAATCTCTTATTTCTGGGTGTCTACCTAGATAGAAGACTAACTTTTGAAAGTCATATTAACATGCTATGCAGGGCGATTTTTCTGGAGCTGCGCAGGATTAGTCAAATCAGGCCCTTCCTAACAATTGATACAACAAAGAGGCTGATGTCTGCATTTGTGCTATCACGCATGGACTATTGCAATGCTCTCATGGTGGGTCTTCCAGCTACGCTCCTGGATAAAATTCAAATAGCACAGAATAATGCGGCTCGCATAGTTCTCCGCAAACGCAA